TCACCTCCAGGACCTCTGGCGTTGTGCATGCCTCTTTCTTAAGGAGGAGGAAAATGCTCTGTGGGACACCCTGCGTGTGCTTTTCTCTTCCTACCTGCCACCCACCACCCTGTTGCTTTCCAGGCAGGTTGGCTGCCAACTCTGGCCAAAGCCTTGGCAATTCAGCCAGTACTGGGGCTTGTCCTGGCTTCCCAGCACAGCTCCCATACTCCAGTTTTGTGGCCAGAGCTGTACTAGGGATGTTTACAGCCAGCTAGGAGGGGAGTCCTGGTCACGTCCCTGCTGGGGGATCCCATTGGAGGGGGACACCACGGGAGCACAGCTCCTCCTGTGGCCCAAGGGCTGGGTGAAGTGGCCCCAGGGTGACCGGAGGAAGTAGCAGTGCCTGTGGGTGCTGCAGTGGATGGGGACAGGAGAGGAGGAGACTTCCTCCCCAGGGAGCTGGAGATGAATGGCACTTGAGCTTAGCACCCACAGCACGTCTTGCCTTCCATGTGCTTTATAGGCATTAGCTAATTAGTGCTTTTGTGCAAGCCTGGCTGCTGAGGACGGGCAGGGTGCAGCACAGGGAGGACAGGGAACACACGGGGAAGGGGAGTGCTGCCTGCAGACATCTCCCCTTCCTCCCTCCTCCCCACTAATGAGATTGCTGGGAAGAGTCTGTCCTTCCAGCTCACCTTCCCGTGCCCCCCAGGCTGGGGGATTAGCAGCACTAATCCTTCCAGAAGCTCTCCATGAGGGCACCACCACAGCTCCAGGCTGCAGGCGAGGACAGCAAGCCCTTGGCGCTGTGCTCAGAGTCTCCAGAGGGACCCAAGACCCTCCTGCCCACCCAGGAGAGGAACAGCCCCTCCCTGGGATACAGGCTACCTTTGGGGTTGCTGAGCCTGGCCCCTCACTGGAATGGGGGCTCTTGCTCTGCAGGCTCCAGAGGAAGTGGCGGATGTAAAGGAGGTGTCGGTAGATGTTGTCATCCAATGTCTCCACCTCCAGGTCCACTCTGAAGCCCCCACTGGGCAGGATGATGGGCGGGTGGTTGTCAAAAGACTCAAGCATCTCATCTGAAAGGCAGAGGGAGGAAGACTAGTACTGGCCTGGGCTGCACCCTGCTCCTGCCTCCTGCCTCTCTGCAGTGCGCAGTATCCCAGCTGGGATCATGGACAGTGAGCTGCAAGGTTGAGCATCCCTCGCTCAGGACTGCAGAAAAAGCCCCATGCCCATCTGAATGCACTTTGCATCCTTTGCAATAGCTGAACCACGGGATCATGGTCATTCCCAGTTGCTGCAGTTACTACAGGAGCCCCAGGAAGGGGAAGGGAATTGCTGTTTGCTTTGTAAGTAAAAACCTTGGAGGGAGGCTGCGGGTGACAGGAGCACAGTGACCAGAGTAGTGCTGAGAGCAAAGCCAGGGACTCACCAGTTTGGAAGGTGGCTGGGCTCTCCTCCTCGCCAGGCTGCCACGCCGCGATGCAGCCCACATCCATCACTGCCTGGCACTGGCTCAGCACCCGGTGGAGCTGTGCAGGACTCAGCGCTGGGAACTCAGCTCGCAGGGACGGCCAGGTCATCTGAGTGAGGAGACAGGGCGTGGGTCAAACAGCAGAGGTGAGGAGCTGCTTCCTTCTGAGGAGCAGGAGCTCATGAGGGGCATGGGAGGGAGAGGTCGGGCATGATGGAGTGAGCCTACATCTCCCCTCTTCGATACTGCCGACCCACAGACCCACCACCCTGGGAAAGGGCAGCTGGTGGCAGGTTGCAGAAAGGACACGTCAGTGTCCCCAAATGCTGAGCAGGGCTCCTCCTGCCCCAGCTCATCCCAATACTGTGAGTCCCTGGCCAGGCATCCCTCACCTGCACCAGCTGGGAGCCAGGCATGGCCAGCAGGTTGGCCACGCTGGCGAGTTTGGCAAAGAATTGCTGGGCAAGCTGCTCAAAGCCAGCGCTGCGCAGCCAGTCCAGGAGCAGCCGCACGCTGGCTCGTAGCTTCACCCCCTGTGACCAGTGGAAGCAGCCAAGAGAGGAGCCTGAGGAAGCAAAGCATCCATCAGCACGTGTCAAAGAACAACCCCTCAGTCCCCCAGCCCTTTCCCCAGGCTAATGTCCTCAGCATCCTATAGCTGTAACTATGTGGTAGCTGGACCTCACCTGGTGCTAACAAGCTGCATTAATGAGGGCTAATGAGCACCTCAGGTTGCAGTAGTTTATTAATGAGCTGCTCTTCAGAACTTCCCTCCACCTCCTCTGCTCAGACTTGAAAGGGCAGCACTCTTGTAGGGGGCGAGGATAGGGTCCTTGGGGGGGGATGTTAACCCCTCCTGGGCACGGGAACACTAGAGTCAACAGTTGGGTCTGTGCTTAGCCTCTCCATAACAGTGCTGAGACCTGTGTGTCTCCAGCCCCCTCAAGTTGCTTGAAGCCCCTCCTTCCTGTACCCCCTGAGGTGGCACTGAGATGGACTAGAGGCCAAAAGGTCAGTCCCCTATGCATTACCCAGTCCAAGGAGGACTGACCCTTATCCAGGAGCTGGTTGAAGAGCAGGGTGTTGGAGAAGAAGAAGAGGTAGGCAAACATCTGGGAGGTGATCTCTGGGTGCACTTCATACTGGCGGAGCAGGTCCAGCACTGCCTGGTAGATGAGCACAACCCTGCGGAGCTCCTCGGGCAGTGGTGGGGACGCTCGCCAGCTCTCTCTGCACTCACTCTGGAAGGGGTTGCACTCCAGCAGGGCAGGAAGCGACACGTACAGACACTGCAAAGACAGCAGCAAGGTCACAGCAGACTGATTTTGTTTGGTTTTTCTGGTTTTGTATGAGCCAAACCTTTCCAACTTACTCACCTCCACCAGCCAAGCAAACCCTGCTAGTGCTGCTCTGGCAAGGGGCTGATCCTGCTCACCCCCTGCCTCCATGTGCTCTGGTGTTGTGCAAGCGTTTAAAAACATGTAAAATTTAGTGTTGGTTGCTTTTAGCAGCTGGAGGTGATGGAGTGTGACAGCTCAAGCTAAAAGGATCTGAAATGGGCCTACAGGGGAGCTGGAGAAGGGACTGTTTGTTAGGAACTGCAGTGATAGGGCAAGGAGTAACAGATTCAAATTAAAGGAGAGGAAATTTAGGCTAGGTATTAGAGCCTAACAACACATCATTCCTGTGATGGTGGTGAGACACTGGCACAGGTTGCCCAGGGAGGCTGTGGCTGCCCCATCCCTGGCAGTGTTCAAAGCCAGGTTGGATAAAGCCTTGAGCAACCTGCTCTGGTGGGAGGTGTCCCTGCCCAGGGCAGGGAGTTAGGACCAGATGACCTCTAAGGTCCCTAAAATTCTATGATTCTAAAAAATCTGATGTGAACCAGGGCAGCAGCCAACCAGCTGGGCAAGCAGGTGAAAGATAAACTGGGATTGATGGGGATGACCTTTACCTTTGTGTAAAAGGGAGAGCAGTGCCTAGCACCCACCTCTGCGAGGCTAAGGGAAGGTGAGGGTGCTGGGGAGGAATGTGCTGCTCTGGCAGAGTGGCACAGGAGCAGCCCCTGCGTTCCCGTGTGCCGACGCCAGCGGACAGGCAGCCACCCCACACAGGGCAGCCTTTCTCCTGCCTGACACTGCCTGCTCTGTTCCCTGCTCCCGCTGCCGCCCGGCGCGCGGTCCAGCGGCGACGGTCCAGAGGCCCTTTCCATCACGCCCTGAATCACACCATTATGCCACGCTGGCCAGAGCCAAGCAGCTCTCCCCAAACGCCTTCCCTGAGCCGCTGCACTGCAGGCAGGGAAACGCGCCGCAGTAATTCAATACTTTTCCTGGGCTGCGACCAAAAATCGGGGCACTTCAGCCCAAAGGAAAACACCTCAGCCTGGTGCAGCTGCCAAGGAATAAAAGCTTATAAAAGCCTCCTGCGCAGCCCCAGAGCTGCTGGGGAGGCTCGTGCTGGCCCCGTGTGACACCGCTGCCTGTCGCGGGAGGCACGTACCTTGGAGATGTAGTAGACACACTGTTGGAAGGTGTACATGATCACCTCCTCCAGCACTGTCATTGCCTCCTCACTGGCTGTGATGGTAGAGGAGAACAGAGACTCCTTGGAGCCTGCAGGGTGGAGAGAAGGATGGGGAGCAAACCTGCAGCAGCAAGGTCCCCAAATTCCCAGGGTGGGGCTTACTACTGCTCCCAGGCTGGTATTAACACCACAATATCCCTTAATGCATCCTCAATGTGTTAACCCCTTAAAAAGGGGCAAAGAGGCTCCTCTGACCTCAGAGAGCACCTGCCTATCATCCCCATAACTCACCTCACTGCTGGCAGCCCAGGACTGCACCCTTCTCACAGCACACTGCCTGGTCTATGAACATTTTAACTTGCTGCATAGACCAGAAAGTTTCTGAGGCTGATTTAATGGCCTTTTCCATTTTTTTCTTTCTTTTTGTGAGCAATTCTGCAGGACTGCCTGCGAATCCAGGTGCCCCCACAGCAGCTGGGGGGGCAGAAAGCCTCCCCTAAAGTATTAACCTCAAGCTGCCACAGTGGAAAGTGAAGACTTGACTGTGAACACAACACAAGCTGGCTCTGGAGCCAGGCAGCACCACAGCACCACACAAGGCTGCTCCTCCCACAGATTTCCTCAGCCCACACCATGGAGAGGTTCCGCTGATGAGGATTACAGAGGTTAACAGAGCATCTTGGGGTCACTGAGCACTGCTTGTGACTGGGGATTAGCAGAGCAGGGTTCTCCAGCTGGAGAAACAGGCAAGGTGCTGCATCCAGCCTTACCTTTGATGTCTAGCTCCTCCTCCATGCTCTGGATGTATGTAGGTGATTTCTGCTGGACAAAGTAGAGGATCTCAATGGCATTGGCCATCCAGAAGATGATGTGCTGCAGGTCTGGGAGAAGGTCTGTGATGGTGAAGCGGGACAGGGTGGCAGGGTCCTGGCTAGGGAGACACAGCAGATGTTACAGCTGCTGCTCCTCGGCAACCCCACTCAGGATTTTTGGGAGAAAACAGCTGGTCTGGGGCAATACCAGAGACCTTTCACATTCCCTCACCCCCAAGCCCAGTACTTCCCTCAGGAAGACCCTGTACAAGCAGGTGGTTCCTGCTCCATGGGATGGCAAAGATGACCCCAAAGGGAGAGCTGAACTGCAGTAAATACTCATGATTGAAGAGCAGCTCTCCCCAAGAAGTATGTGCTGCTCCTGCCAGCTCTGGACTGTTAAACCCAGCCCACCCTCACTGGGCTGTTCAAAAATAAAACAAAATAAATAAAAAGCATCTGGGAAGTTTCTCAACTGCTGAACTGCATTTTCATGCTATAGGAAAGGCCTGGGAAGTATCCTCAGAGTTTGTCCTAAATGAAAGCTCACAGCAATCACCAACAGTTTCTCCAGATGCTGGTTCAGAGCCAGGATTCTGGAAATGTCTGGGAAGAGAGCCTCCCACACCACTGTGATGGCCCCAGATCGATGCTCTTCACCCCAGGACACCCTGTGCCACCATCCCTGGATGTATACATGCAATGTCAACCCCATCCCAGCTCCACCAAAGGGTCTTCAGCATGAAGGGGTGAGAACCCACATCAGGGTCATCCCTGCTACATCCCTCAGGGATGCTGAAGCCACAAGGGCAAAGCCTTGGCAAAGTCTTGGATCAGAGAAAACCCCAGAGCTGCTGCAGGTCCTGTTCCCTCCTGAGCTCACCTGCTTTTTCAGACCCACACAGTCCTAAGTAGGGGCCTTTGGGCACTGTGGTGAGAGGATCAGACTGCTGAATGCATGGGATTTAGCAGGAAAATTCAGCATGCATCACTGCTGCCAGGCTTGGAGGCTGATTTCAGCCAGCCATGGACTCCCCTCACTTATGGAGGAAGAACTTGACTGAATTCTCCCCATTTTGGATCAAAACAAGGAAGGTTGCACTTACTGCTGGGACTGCTTTTCAGCCAGCTCCCGTGTCCGCTCCTGGGCAGGGAGAGAAGGGGAAAGCAAAATGAAAACCAGTGAGATGGGATGGCACGAGCATCAACACTTGCTGCCACCAGAGACCAGGCTGGGAAGGGGAGGGAGTCTAAGCAACACCCCCACCCCACCAACACCCCTGTCCCACCGCTGACTGACCCACACTGTCCTCTGGATCATTTTGGCCGCTTTCAGCAGCAGCTGCCCGAAGTCTCCCGGCTCAAAGTTGGTGGCTGAGTGCTGGATGCAGAGGCAGAGCAGGAAGGCAGGTGTCAGCTTGTGGTCATCGCCCCCCGGCTCGATCAGGGTCATGATGCGCCGCAGGAGCACATCCTCGG